AACATAGTCGAGCTTTGAGTTGACTGAAGCTTGTTTCGGCCTCTTTCGTCCACGCGAACTTGCCCTTTTTCAAACAATCCGACATGGGAGCAGCAATAATACTGAAGTCTCTAATGAAGCGCCGATAAAAAGATGCCAAACCAAGAAAACTACGAGTTTCGGTGACTGATTTTGGACTTGGCCACTCCCGTATCGCTTTGATCTTATTGTCATCAACATGAATCCCTTCTTGGCTGACCACGTATCCCAAAAATAATAATTTGGTAGTCATGAAATGGCATTTCTTCTTGTTGACATACAAGTGATTTTGCTGTAGAGCCACAAAAACCTCTCGTAGATGCTCCAAGTGAGACTCCTTGTCCCTACTATAGATTAATATATCATCAAAATATACCACCACCGATCTTCCCAAAAATGGTTTGAGAACTTGATTCATCAATCGCATGAAGGTACTTGGGGCGTTACTTAAACCGAAAGGCATCACCAACCACTCATATAGTCCCTCCTTTGTTTTGAATGCCGTTTTCCACTCGTCTCCTGGCCGAATTCGAATTTGGTGATAGCCATTCTTCAAGTCCAGTCGACTAAAGTATTGTGCCCCATGTAATTGGTCCAACATGTCATCTAATCGAGGAATCGGAAACTTATACCCAATAGTGATCTTGTTAATTGCCCGACTATCAACACACATTCTCCAACTACCATCCTTCTTTGGAATTAGGAGAGCTGGGACTCCACAGGGGCTTAAGCTTTCTCGAATGTGGCCCTTGGAGAGCAACCCTTCAACTTGATCTTGGAGAATTTGACTTTCTCGGGGACTCATCCGATAGTGAGGAAGATTAGGCAAACTGGCACCAGGGACTAAGTCGATTTGATGTTGTATATTCCGTAGGGGGGGGAAGACCAGGTGGTAATTCCTCGGGCATAATTTCATCAAATTCTACTAGCAAGTGTTGCACTTCTTTCGGAGGCTTTGGAGTTGCGGCAGGTTTCGGCATCTCTTTCACCGCTAAGAGGAGTACTTCCTTACTCTCTTTTAAAGACCTCCCAAAGGTATGCCCATCTTCAATTGTCAGCAGCTTTAAAGGTTCATTCCCTGGTGGTCTTTCGTCCTTGGTACCCCATGGTATTAAACGATATTTCTTCCCGCCATGTCGAAACTGATAGGTATTCTTACGCCCATCATAAATTGCAGCGACGTCAAACTGCCAAGGACGTCCTAAGATAAGATGGTAGACATCCATATCCACGATATCACAGGTGATGTTATCCTTATAGTTGCCGATAGAAAAATTGAGGGCGCATTGCTCCGCGACTTTAACTTCACCGACTGATTTGATCCAACCCAAAGAGTAGGGCTTTGGATGACGTTTAGTTTGAAGCCCCAAGAGCGTGACCACCTTTCGACTTATGACATTTTCTTGACTTCCATTGTCGATGACCACGTTCCAAATCTTGTCATTGATGGTGCAGCTAGTCTTGAAAAGTCTGTGGCGTTGAGTTTCATCTTCTTGTTTTGGTGCAATGAGGATTCTTCGAACCACACAAGTTGAATGCTCCTCCTCTTCCTCTTCCAAAGCTCCGTCAGGTCCGTATTCCTCCTCCTCACTTTCCTCTTCCTTCGAATCACGGTCGATGGCTGCTGTTAAGTTGACATTCTTTCTTTTTGGGCATTCACTAGACTTATGACCTGGTTGGTTGCACCTGTAACACTTCCCAACGGAAGGCCTAGCGTAAGGATTTGATTGTTTATTACTTGTATCCACCTCCCTTTTTGAATTCACCTTTTCAGGGGCCAATTGCTTTGTGGTGGTCGAACTTGAAGATGGATTTGGGAATTTAGCATTATTTCCCTCGGACTCTCGAAAGTTACGTCGAGTATTTTCCTTTTTCTCTTCGACCTCAATTAGTTCTGCCCGTAGGGCGTAGGTCTGGGCGTCAGCCATGGATGGAATAGCTTGTACTCCAATGCGTTTGCGAAGACTTGATTTTAATCCGCTAAGGTAACGTGCCACCATCTGCCCCTCAGTTTCACCTAAGCGATTACGCTCTGATAAGCTTAGAAATTCAGAAGTGAATTCCTGTACTGGGCGATTTCCTTGAACACAAGAGTTATATTTTTGAAATAGAATCTGGTCATAATCCGGTGGGAGGAAGCGCTCTTCCATTAGTTTCTTCATCCGTGACCAAGACCGTATCGGAGCTTCTCCGGATTCTTCTCGATCCAACTCGACGCGATCCCACCAAACTGAGGCGCTGCCCTCCAGTCGATAAGCTACCATTTTAACCTTGCGATTCTCTGGAATTTCAGCATACTTGAAGAACCGCTCCACCTTGGCTAGCCAATCCATAAAGTCCTCGATTCCTGCAGTGCCAGCAAAACTAGGCAAATCCGCTCGCAATTTGAATTCATCGCCAGCCCCACGTACGCCATTACCCACATGGAATCCTCTGCGTGCACCAAACTGTCGGGGTTCTTCGACATAATCTCCCCATTCAGGAGGGGGATCCGGTTCCCATTGGTCGTGATAGGGACCCAATTGGTTTCCTCTACCCCTAGGGTTCTCTATGAATCGTTGTCCCACTCCCCGAGCTCTACCACGTCCCTGCATGTGATCGCGTTGCTCGTGTGCCCTTGTCCATTCCTGCATATATGGATCATGATGTTCAGCTCGTGGTTGATTTACTACTTGACGTCCCGGATTTCGTCGATTAGGATAGACTTGCTCCCATACTTCCTCCTCTTCGAGCTCGACGTCCTCATGCATGTTCACGTGTGCTTGACGGTGGCGTCGTGGATTTTCGGGCGGAGGTCCGCCTCGTTCCCTATTCCCACGAACCCTTAACCCATTAAGGAGGGTTTGAATATCTTCTACCGATCGAAGAACTTGGGTCATCTGCTGACCTAGTTCTCTTGTGGCAGCTTGCTGGTTGCGAATGGCTTCCCAAACTGCCGGGAAGTTTAGATGCTCAACTACAGGCTCCTCTGTCTCAATCGCGTCGTCTGCCATTGATTAGGGAAGAGCCAGGCTCTGATACCACCTGACGTAGCGGAAACGTCAAGCCAAGTTTAAAGCGCCAACTTGGAACTGTATCTCGGTTTGAAGCACCAACCGAAAACTGAAACTCAGTTTGAAGCACTAACTGAAAACTAAGCGCTAACGATGAATCGATGTCGCCGAACGAACTAGAATTATTATTAGGCAAAACCTGTCTCTTTTCTATCTCTCACACACGCCCCTAGAGCCTATTTATAATCAACAACCCAAGCTACCTCTAAGCACCAAACAGACAAGGAAAGTTTACCATATACGTAAACAAACACGAAACCAACTACGTAAACAAATAACTACTAATCCGACAAAGAAAAGGAAGACAAGAGCTCCTGCGTCACCAGCTCTCCATTTTCATCTAGGCCTGATCACGACTCACAACTGATCCTTATACCGCAAAACGTGTAGTAGTAAGCAACCCATTTATCCATCAGAACGTTCCCAACTAATCCTTATACCTCTGGATTTGAACCTTCATCTTTGGACCACAAGAACTAAATATCTTGCCTACTTATTTCACATCATCAAATTCCTAAGCCTTGCTTGTCAGTGCATTTTCACCTATCTTGAATGCTCCCATGCTCTCTTTGAACCTCTAAATTCGTCTCTTGTTCCATGGTCCATGTGAAGAGATTATTTGACCTCGAATAAAATCATAAGGGGTGAGCATGATCGCATCATTACCTCCCTCTTGAAAAACAATTACCCTCAAATCTTGTTGCCACCAATGCAGTCAAAAGCGAGTTTCTACGTAGAAACATTTTGGTGATCTGGAATCGTAAGTTCTTAAGTTTTTAAGTTTTAAAACGGATTTTTTAACTACATAAGTTATAAAAACTAAGATTTTGTGTAGAAACGTTTTAGTGACCTAGAAACGTAAAATCGTAAGTTTTTAAGTTTTAATACGCGATTTTGACTACATTGGCTGCCACATATAAATGAGTTCCCATGGCTCCATTATATCTCAACTTGAATATGCACCTTGAATGGCAAGTTTAACCACAAACTCTTAAAGTCTTTGTCCCTCTCTAATATGAGCCTCCTTATAGGGCACTTCATCTCCAATAACGAACTCCATATATATGCTCAACACTCGCACCATAATCTTCCATTTGAATTGACTTGTATTGAGAAGGGTTTTGACCATATTCATAAGCTGAATTTGGTGATATTGGTATACTTGAGGTGTTGAAGATGCCCATGGACGATTTTTGGTGATGTTGGATGACATCTCCAATACCAAAATCTACCACGCAATAGGTGAAAATGCTCATTCTTTTTATTATCCAAGAGTTGCACCATCCTTGGAGATAGTTTATGCGGGTTTTCCTCATGTTTTTATCATGTTTCAGACATAAACATACAAAACTAGGCACTGAGATCAAAACTCAGACGAAAGAGGGTGAAAAGGGAGAGAATGGTAAAAAATGCAAAGATCACGGCCAGGGGAAAATTATCAAGGGTAATTACCGGAAAAAATTATCAAGGGTAGCAGACCGTGATGTCAACAATCAGACCGTGAAGATCACATGGTTCTAGGAGGGTGTATGCTCTTACGAGGGAAGATGGGGATCAGATTCAGTACAACCCGACTTGGAAGGCTGCATGGAGGATCCCGGGCCGCAACGAACAAAAACTTTGTTCTGGTTGGTGCTGCACAACCGGCTGCTTAAGAACGCAGAGAGGCTCCATCGTCATTTGGCGCCAACGGATAAGTGTCCCATATGCGGAGGAGGGCCTGAGATTTCCATCCATGTCATGCGGGACTGTGCCTACGCTCGCGGCGTGTGGTCCTATTTCTTAGCAGATGAGCCCGATCGAAACTTTTTTCAGCAGACATTCCACGCTGGGGACTCCATTACTTGACAGATTGCAGCCCCATTATGGACGCGTCAATTTTTGTTGGCAACTTTGGAAGAACCGGAATGCTTGGGTCTTTGAGAAGCAATTGGTGGCACCTGTAAACTTGGCTGGGAGGTTTCTTCTCGTACGTGGCAAACAACAAGCCGATGTACGTCACGTCTCTCTCGTTCTGTTTTGTGCATTCCATTTTCCTTCTTTCGTGTTTGCTTTCCTCGGGGCTTTTTGTTTTGTTGCCTTTCCTTCTACTAATTGCTGAAAGCTCTGCCCTTTCGTCCCGCAAAATTTGACCTTAACCCCTCTGTCTTCTCTCCGTCCTTTCAATCCTGCGGCCTCCGCTCTCAGTTGTCAAAGTTAGCAGGTATCTTCCCCACCATAATCTGCTGTTTTGGTCGTTTGCTTGGGTAAGTTGGGTGACCGAATTTCTTCTTTGGGTGTTGGGATACTAGTGCTCTCTGTTAATTGCCCTTTCCGATCAGGTTTGCTTTTCTGGGTTCTATTGACCGGAGCCTGGAGTTGTTTCTTAATTCATTTCTATGGTTTGCAAAGTGGGCCGCTTTCAGGGTTTTCCCCTCTTTGTGGGTTTATCACTGGGAATTACTCAATATACGTCATTTCTCGAATCAGGATGTTGAGAGCTTTCAGTGAACTGTTTGTCCAGGGCCGTGCTCTCATTTTAACGACCTGGTAGTTGGTCCATCTCCAAGCTAAGCTTTTGTGTGTTATATATGTCAACCCTTGTTTTGAGGTTCTGCATTCTGCTCTTCCTTGGGCCTTCGCAGGAATTGTTTTGTGTGATCAGATGTTGAAAGTCCCGTATAACTTATACGAAGATCTCATCTTATTAACTGAGCATGTTCCCGGCCGTTATCTAACTATACTGTAGCTTTTCTTTGTGGGTTTTGCTCCTGGCTTCATTTTAAGAACTCTGCTCTTCTTGGGACCCCTTATCTTACCTCTTCTTAGCTAATGGCTATGGAATTGTAAGCATTATATTTTTTAGGGCTTACTGCTTTCTCTTTCTTCTTGTGGGGAACTGAATAAATTTTTTAAATTGTTGTCTTGCAGAACCAGGTGGAAGTGATTAGAATCTGACCAAATTGTGCCGCATAGCTAAACAGCTTAGCATATTTGTGGGTTAACGTGTGCCCAAGATGGATCTAAAAGGCATCACCTGGGTCGGAGATGTTTATGAGAAGTTCGAAACTATGTGTTTGGAAGTGGAAGAAACTATGTATGAGGTATGTGCTCGCTCCATTTGATATTATGGTGATTTACTCCGAGATCTTCAATTCAAAATTACAGTGGGGCTTCCATTTAATCAAGATATACTAGGCTAAAAATTGTAATAGTCTAGCGGGAAAATAGTTGATTCAAGGATCCTTTCTTTTTCTTTAATTAATGGTATGAGCTTCCATGTAATAAAGATATCTCCCTCCTGTTCCTTTTTACTGGAACAGGACACAGTTAACTATGTGGAGAATCAAGTGCAGACAGTTGGTGCTAGCATGAAGAAGTTCTATGCAGAAGTCATGCAGGATTTGTTACCCCCAGGCTCGGAAGATCCTGCAAAGGGGACTACTTCTGGTAGGTCTGAAGAACTATACACTGATCTGGGGATATACCTGAAGCCGAAAGTGACCATGAAGAACAATTTTATTAAGTTTCACGATAAGGGGCAGTTGAGTGAGCCTTTGATAAAAGTTAGTGCAAAATGTCCAGACCTTCCGCCTGCCTTTCTTTGCCATGTAGATAATCTTTTCCCTCTCTATCAAGGAGACTCTGCCAGAAGTGTCTGATAGAAACATGGTTGTTAGAGTTTTCTATTATTAATTATGGTAGGATAATTATTATTAGGGTTGAGTCATATTATGATAGTCTATTAGGTTTTTCCAGTCTTTCGCTATATATATGTACTTCGGGTCTTTTGTTCAATTAAGCAGAAATCAGTTAAGAATTATCCTCCCAAACTCTAAGCTTCCCGTATCTCCTAATTTCTCTTCGTCCCAAATCCAAGGCTTCGGCCGATTCTTATTCTGTTCTTCCTCTCCTAATCCCAATCTCAAATCCCTAATTCTGTTCTAAATCCCTAAATCCCCAATTCTCGATAGAACCCTAATCCCAGGTTCTATCATTTGGTATCAGAGCCCGGTTCCGAGAACGAGTTCGTCATAACTCTCAACGGGACAATTACGTCGCAACCCAAAGTCAGAATGAGCTCGTCACAGCTCTTCGATCTGGAGTGGTCTCAATTGCAAGAGCTACTGCAGCAAACTTTCGCCCGATGGAACAAGGAGGCGCAAGAGAGAGCGGCTGCGAAGGCGGAAGCGCCGCCAGCGGCGGCGGCTGTCGTGGTGGTAGAGGCAGCGGAGGTGGTGACCGCGCGGCAGTGGGAGGCGCTGCTGAGCTCGACGGGGGACGGCGGGTCGGTGAGGAGGCCGGCGCAGGGGGAGGAGCGACGACCTTCACGGCGGGACGAGGGGGCGAGCCGCCGGACGGATCGCTGGTCAGCGGAGAAGGAGACGACGATGGCGGGCGGCGTCTCGAGTAAGATGAAAAGGAAGGAAGAGGTTGGTGGCGGCTGGGGCTCTCTTCTCGCATACCCTAGCTCGCTTGATTTGGGCCAAGGAGCACAACAGGAGCAGTTGGGCCAAGCAAATGGGCCTGCCCCTTCTCCTGCAGCCAATGTCTTACTTGGGCCAAAGGGAGTGGCTGGTTTGTTGGAGAAAGAAGATAGAACCGTAAAAAATGGGCTCAAATCGTTTGGCCCATTTGTGAAGGGAAGCTGTTGCGGTTTGGGCCACAAGTTGGCAAGTGAGGTGATGGTTGTTGGGCCAAAACTTGGACGTGTATGGGCCAAACAATGGTTGATATGCGGGCCGAGTTTGGGAAGACTCAATATAACTCAAGGATATGATGGATTGCATCACCATAAAGGGCTTGGGCCACAAATGAGTCCTCTGGTTGGTTTTCTTTATGGTGTGGACTTAAAAGAAAAAGGTGTGGGTTTATATGGTGGGCTTAATGAGGAACCACTTTCTGGTTCTTACTTTGTGGAGTTTGAAAAGGTGGAAGGAAAGTCATTTGGACATGGGTGTGGCATGCGCCACATGGGTATGAAAGAAGCAATGAGTGTCGAAGTTGCTGGTGTGGGATTCGTGCAAGTAGTGGAGCACAATTGGAGGAAAAGGAAGCGCCAGAAACCGAGAAGTCAAGGCGCAGATGGCATAAGAAATGTGGAGAAGTGGGTAGAGTCGGACAACCTTGAGGGCAAGGTTGGTTTCAAGGGGGAGGGAATGATAGAAACATGGTTGTTAGAGTTTTCTATTATTAATTATGGTAGGATAATTATTATTAGGGTTGAGTCATATTATGATAGTCTATTAGGTTTTTCCAGTCTTTCGCTATATATATGTACTTCGGGTCTTTTGTTCAATTAAGCAGAAATCAGTTAAGAATTATCCTCCCAAACTCTAAGCTTCCCGTATCTCCTAATTTCTCTTCGTCCCAAATCCAAGGCTTCGGCCGATTCTTATTCTGTTCTTCCTCTCCTAATCCCAATCTCAAATCCCTAATTCTGTTCTAAATCCCTAAATCCCCAATTCTCGATAGAACCCTAATCCCAGGTTCTATCAGTGTCCCAGGGAAATATACAAAAGTAAGTCTGTCAAAAAAGTTCGATGTTGGAATCATCAAGAGCTCTAGGCCAGAGTCGATCTGTCAAGATGACATGTCAGGGTTTGCTTCTCCTGTTACTAAATCTTTTTCACGTAAGCACTCAACTATAAGTCACGAAGCATCATTTGATCAGCTAGCTACACTTGCAAGTTCAGGTTCTGGCCATATTTCTGGACATGACCCTGTTGAAAAAAGCAACACTGAGGTGGTTGAGCCAAAAGCAGCAGTGCCTGTTCTTTCAGCTGGTTATATGTTCTCTGATAGAGCCAATGCACTAGAGTCGGGGAATTGTGAGCGTTTGGATGCAAGACTTCCTTCTTCCGATAACCCTTTAGCAGAATCAAATGGCACCTATGTGTCTGAGGGTAATTTCATTTTTCCAGCTTTGTAATAAACTTTTCGTTAGTTCTGCTTTTTGTTCTGATTTGACAACTGCAGGTGAGTCCTCTACAAATACAACCGCACTATCCAGGAAGTTTGCTTATACCGAGGACTACACTTCTAATTCAGGTACGTGTGTGGATCCGGTATCTTCTGGTCAAGAAGATGAAGGAAACATATCTATGTAATTTTAGTTTATCTTTATTAGAGGACTAAAAGTTATTGGTTTGCTCATGACCTTCAGTTTTGGGTTCTTAACCTATCATTCCAGACAAAACTTATTATGATGTGTTTCACTCTACATTTGTTTTTAATCGTTTTTAGGTCCACAATTAGTTTAAATCACTTAGTATTTAATATGAATAATTCGATGTCAATCGAAGAACGTCTCAATCTAAGTTCTGGACATTTAGTATGATCACAATGTTGGTGTTTTGTTTCAAAATGAATTTTACTTACCGTATTCTTTGCAAGAGACGCAAGGGAGGTCATAATGTATGATGCCGTGTTGATCATTCATTTATTCTGTGGAAATTACATTTCAGGAAGGCCCAGCGACTGGGATATAAACATGATTGTTGACGATGGTTCCACTTATCAGCAGGACCCGGGAATTTATGGACAAACTGACCAGTCAAATCTCGAGCAGAGTTCTATTGATCAAGAAATGGAAAGTAATCAACAGGTTGACCTGGCCTTGCTCGAGGAAACGTGCGTTGTTGTCAGTGAAGATGAATTTGATTTTGTATCTCACCCTAAAGGAAAAGGTTATCCTTACAAGGTATCTCCCTTTAGCCTTCTCTTACTAGCCTAGATGACCAAAAGGTATTCTGATGGTAACATACTTCAAAACGTTATTGTTCTTTCCAGAAGAGATTGAAGCATGTTTTAAGGTCATTGAGGAAGCAGCAACAAGAAAAACTTGCAGAATTGAAGTCTGTTGCGAGAGGTTCAGCATCAGGTGCTACGAGTGTGGGAGCTGCCAAATCCCAGGCCCTCGAAGCTGAATGGGAGCTAATATAGTTAACGAGATGCCCATTTATTATTTACATATTTATGTACAGCATAATTTTCACCAGCTTATACAGCCTCCATTAGTGTGCATATAAAAGGCTTAGTAGAGAAATAGTTTCATTAGCTATGCTGGGGAATTGGGTATTGCATAATGTAACTTCTCTAGATGCTGTAAATTCGTGTAACCACTCAATCGTTAATTGTAAAAGTAGCAAATGTATTATTAGATGGCTGATCGCTGCTGCTATTTCTATTTGTTTATCATGCTCGCAAATAATTCTTCCTGTCAGTGGCGGAGCATGTTGTATTGAGGGGGAGTTATGCCTCTTAATTCATGCTCGCAAATAATTCCATTCCATGTGTGTGTTCAGGAGGAGTTATGCCTCTTAATTTTTAAATATAGTTTGTAACAAAATTATAAAATAGACTAGTTGGTAAATTACTAGTCCCTCTCAATAATTATGATTCAAATTTCTCACTTGTAAATTTTTCAGTTCATCTCAATCAGATTTATGTTATAATACACAATGTCGCCATCCAGACTAATATAGTACAAAAATATTATGAAATACCATGTCAATCGATTTTACACATTTAAATTGGTCATTTTTTGCAATACCAGAAGGGTTTGATAGAATTTAAATATTATAATGCTAGTTAAATATGCTAGATTAGGGTTCATTTGGATAAGAGGATTTGAATTCGGGATTTGTAATTTCAAATACTAAATAATTTGTTTGGATACTAACCATATCTGGATTTTGAATTTGTTCCAAATACATGATGTGAATTTGAAATACATATATAATGCATGACTTGTGAGTTTCAAATACATATTAAGAATTAGTGATTTGAAATTCATTTTAACCATAAAGTCTCAGACTACTTAATGTGAGTTCTTGTTTTGACCTAATTAGAAGGTCACTAAATTAGGTCATGAATTAAGCAATCAACTACTCGATTGAAGCAATATATTGACATAATTAAACATCAAATAGTCATAACAAGAGATTAGGGTTCATACATAGTCATTCCATTCCTAAACAATCAACTACAAGAGCTAGGGTTCAACTTACCCAAATACAAATGGTTTTTAGCCCATCAATGGTAGAACTTGATGTCCTAGAATGATACCAGTTCTCTATGAAGAAATACAGAGCAGTGATCGATAAATCTAGTGGGGGGAATGGCTAGGTAGCATATGTTGGTGGAACGATTCGGTTGATGGGCACAAAATACCCTGAAATCTAGTTTAGGGAAGGTGGTAGCGCAACTATGAATCTTTGGTAGAATGATGAGACTTACAATCTAGGTTCGTAATGGAGGAGATTGGACTTTTGAAGGTTCCGATGGTGAGCTTTGGAATGTGCATTTGGGTTTGCGGTTAGTAGGCCGAGACAATCAATTGGGCATGTTATCTATGCAAGCGGATTTCACTTCCGCATTAAGCAAACTGTCAGAAAACATCTTTCCTAGATTACCCCTTGAGAATTTTTATGGATGCAAGAAATTTGAAATGAGAGACACACTTTTACCATTTCACCTTTATATATGTGTAGATGTTACTGTGCATTCTTCTAAGGTTTTTGATAATTCAATGCATGATAGGAGAAACAATAACCTCCTCTATAACTCTACGACTACAACCCCACATGATTATCTATTCTAATGGGAAGTTGTGTACCTTCATGATATTGCACATACAGTGTCTTGAAGGGCACCACATTGATGAACACAACTGCATCGGGAAGCAAATTCTAGAAGACATTGGTTATGGTCTCCCACTAGAACACATTAACTAGAGGTCCCCTATTTGGAAGAATGAAGTGGAAAATGTGTTATGAACACATTAACTATTGACACCCAAGTCTTGGATTTGAGAAATCCACGTCCATCAAATGAATCTAGAATAAATGTTATTAATGATTTAAGGTTAATACAATTTATCTGGTGACCTTTGAATAACCAAGTATACATGATACCAAAGAATCGAAACTTGAAACATATGCATTTTACCCGAACTCCTCTCTAACAAAAAGGTGAGCATGCCTTCACATTAAAGAATTCTCCGAGTTGAAAATCCATAGTAACTGGATCGCTTCATTTTAATAAGCATCATTTTGAGCACGTAACAATGTAACTGAAGAAGGTTGTTTATTAGAATATGATTACATAGAGGTTTGGTGGAATTTATAAGAGAATATAAGAAATCATGGATGAACATAGACATAATTCAAATTCGTATGAATAGAAATCTCAGTAGTCTTATCGAATTTTAGCACTCAATGCGGCCACTGTAGATGTCAGACTTGATGGGATTCAAAGGGGAAATTGAGTCTCGATCTAGTCACAAGGCATTGCGAAAGATAGTTCTTCCCAATCAGCACCCTTCCAACACCCGATGTGTTAAATGGATGTGGCTTCCCATCCCCCTATGAACTTTGATTAATTGAATCTGATAATGAACGAAGCAAACATACCACGATAAACACTTGTAGTGTAAGAAAAACTAACCATGTATTGATGATTAACTTACGCATTTAAGATCCTCCTCTCTGTGGGCGTACATACAATATTACTCTAACCTCTTCCATTTCAGCAATCGGAGACAAGTAACTATGGCGACCACAACCAATGTGGTTGCTTCATGACTTGAGTACCTGATGGGACTTCGATTGAAGAAGAAACACCGCAACTTTTAGTGTTCCGTGTTGCACTTTCGTCAATCGGAGGGGAGTAGGTTCGTGGCTGCGGGAGATACCCTTGAGAGAAATGATGATTTTATTTTCGCGTTCAGCAAACCGTAAAAAAAAAAAAAAGCTTCCCTAAATACCATTGAGAGAATTGCTGTGGAGGCCAGAAATTTGAAATGGAGGTCACACTATTATAAGATAGATAGAAATTTAATTTACGTATTAAACTACATATAAAATAATTAAAATATGAAAATCAAAGTATCAAAACACCTATAAGTACTTAGTCTAAATTTGGTGGGCTAGCAACCCTGGGGATAGTCTTGAGATTTTCCGATTTTAGCTTCATGTATGCTTTTTATTTAAAGTGATACAACAAATTTATGTAGCGTGATTGCTTACGACCCTTATCTTTATTTAAAATACAATGTCCTTTGATTGAAATAGATAATTGTGAAGACAAAATATCATTCCTACTTTGATTACTGTTGCATGAAATTTGAAATGAAAGATATACTATTTCCATTTCACTAATAAGATTTATTTCATACAATAATTAATTGAAGATTTTAACAAGTTAACTTAATGTTAAATGTATTTTACTATGTAACAAGCCACAAAATCTTGAGATGACCATTATTTACAATATATTTACTTATAATGATAAAAATAATTTAATATTGATGCTTTGTTCTCGCTCTCAATATTAAATTCTAGAAATACAGACACTCTCGCTTTCGGTCCACAAATTGGTTACTATTTGTGCCTCAATACTTCCCCTCTCCCAATGCGCCTTCTCCACTCCACACCAGGCGCTCAGATCCTGCGAGACTAACGCCTAGGGGGCTGAACTCGCCCGTTAGCACTCCGACGATCAAGTCAGCAGCGATTCTAGAGAGATAAGTGAAGGTAAAAGTTTTAGTGTGAGAAAACCGACCTGCTTAAATGCCACCTACCGGGAGCTATTTATACTATTGGAGCTTCCGACCAGGCTCCTACCAACCCCTGCTACACAATCCTTACGTCAGCCCAGCATTAAATGCCCAGCCAGGTCCAAGGCCTACGCGCCTACATGTGGCACACTGTCCGTCCTCCACGTCGGGGCGCATAGGGGGACCACCTGCCCCGTGGCGCCTTTCCGACTTCTCCCATCCGTACTTCCTTGTCTGCGAGCCTATTTTGTCTCTATGCGCCCCTCTTCCCTTAGAGCTTCCTAAGTCATGCCCCAAATAGGCCATAAATGGGCTTCAGGCCCAACAGGCCCTTGACTTTCGTGGGCTTATCCCTATTACCCCAACAGTTACCTATGGGGAACCATTCAAAATTGCTTACCAACGATTCAACGAAGAAACAAAATTGCTGAAACGGGGGACATTTTGATTATTTGGTTTCCATTGGTTTCGAACTTCCTTCCCTGAGTTTTCAGTTGAACTTTTTGATACTTTCTTATACGCAGAATAATTTTATATAATATCTTTAATTTATACATGTAATCACGAAAATTTTATTCGTAACTTTGAAAAACTCTTGGGAGTGAGTTCGAGGCCCAAAACGAGCCTATCAAGAAAACGTATTAATCTCTGGTGGGGTTAAGAAGCACCGAAAATCAATGCCAACAACTAGTCAACAAAACACGGAAACTTGTGACTGATAGCTACAATTTTATTTATTTTTATTTTTTAATCGTCACATCATCAAATTAATGGTTAAAGGTCATAATTGATTGACATATAGGATGAAGTGCTAATGACAAAACATGAAATGAAATTTAATAACTACTAAGAAAATTATTTTTGATGCAAAGTGAAAAAAATTATTTATAGAGTGACCAATATTGAAATTAGCCTTTGATAAAAAATATTGAAATTAGCCTTTAACCTTGCTTTATATATATAAAAATAAAAATTTAGCCAAGATTAGCAAGCACCGCCTCCAGTTTCTCTCCCGTTAGTATAAAAAAAAATCTCTCCCGTAACTCGTACCGCCATTACCCCACGACTGAAATTCGGGAACCCTTGCCACCACCAGACCCTCGTCGGCCTCCGTTGGATCAGGCGACCAAGGCTCGACGGACCTCCTCCGTGCGCTCCGCCTATAACATCCTCAGTCCTCTCCGCCGACCCAATTTGAGGTGCGCGTCCGTCGTTCTCTGCTTTTTGTTCACCCCGCAGTTTTTCGCTTCCTTCGCCTTCTTCCTCGTTTGAGCTTCGTCACTTTGCTTTTAGAGACTAACTGCGGGGGTCACCTTCTATTTGCGGCCTCTCTTCATCTATTGATCTGGTTTCTGAACTGTGGTCCACATTGGTTTTACTACCCAAGTATTTAGAGCAACCATTTTTTATTCACACGGAACTGATCTATCCATAGATTAATTATTTTGTGCAGAAGAGCGATTGGAATCATGGAGGAGGGGGATGACTATGAGGAGTATGTTCCTGTTGCAAAGCGCCGAGCTCTGGAGGCTCAAAAAATCCTTCAGCGGAAGGGGAATGCTTCTGCTCTGGAAGATGAACTTGAGAAGTCTAAGATTGCTGAGGCGAAGCCAAGTCTTCTTGTGAAAGCAACACAGCTTAAGCGGGACCAACCTGAAATCACCCAGACAGAGCAGCTTGTTCAACAGGAGAGAGAAATGATAGAACATTTATCAGATAGAAAAACCCTAATGTCAGTCCGCGAATTGGCCAAGGGAATTACTTACACAGAACCACTTCCGACTGGATGGAAGCCTCCACTTAGAATCCGGAGAATGTCCAACAAGGATTGTGATGCCATTCGGAAACAATGGCATATTATAGTAGATGGGGATGAAATTCCTCCACCAATAAAGAACTTCAGAGATATGAGATTCCCTGAGCCAATTTTGAAGATGCTAAAGGCTAAGGGGATTGTTCAACCTACTCCGATTCAGGTGCAGGGGCTTCCTGTCATCTTATCTGGAAGGGATATGATTGGGATTGCCTTTACAGGTTCCGGAAAGACTCTTGTTTTTGTTCTTCCCATGATTATGATTGCTTTACAGGAGGAATTCATGATGCCTATTGCACCCGGAGAAGGACCCTTCAGTTTGATTGTTTGCCCGTCGAGAGAACTTGCTAGGCAGACATATGAAGTGGTTGAGCAGTTTTTGGTTCCAATGCGAGAGGCTGGATATCCTGAATTAAGGTGTTTGCTCTGTATTGGGGGAGTTGATATGAGATCACAGTTAGAGATTGTAAAGAAAGGGGTGCATATTGTTGTTGCAACTCCTGGGAGGTTGAAGGATATGCTAGCAAAGAAAAAAATGAATCTGGATAATTGCAGGTACCCAATTCTATTCCTTGTGAATAAGTTTGCGTAAGTTTTCTTATGAACAGGTTAATAATGTTTGGTAAAAGCTACCAAAGTACATCATTGATGTTTTCCCTTTAGAACAATAATTTCGAGCAGATTTTCCTGCAATTCCATGAGTTGTAAGTCTGTGTACATGGACTCAACTTTCATGGAGGTGGATGTCATGTTAGAGGTTGTTCCGCTTTCTTCCACCATTCTGCTTGTTGTTGGTCCCAAGTATTCCCATAATAACAGTTTGCTAGAAGGTGGTAAGTATTATTGAGTTTGTAGTTGCTACTTGTGAAACACTTAGCAATTACCTCTGAAGAATTTTTGCTTGATCTAAACTGCATATGTCTCAATACTCATTTGATAACCAAATTTTGTGTAATTGATCTTTTTTCTAAGAAAACCATGAGGTAGTTTAAGAATCCACATTTAAAATCTTTTATTTCGTATCTCATGATCCCTGGACGTAGGATAATTTGTGATCATATGCAGGTCATCTTTGAGACAGCTATACACTCAGGCTTGGGACAAACATTGAAAAAATTGTAACTTTGCTAGTTATCCAGTTGCTTACAGATAGCAATGGCAGGCATCTGATATCATTGCCATAGATCTTTAGGATGATAAATTGGAGAAGGGAAGTTTATTTGGTGCTACACTTGCTGTCAATGCAATGAACAAGGATCAGTTGAAAAGTTCCGGGTGCATGTTTTATTTGTTCTCTGCTTCTTAACATGATGCATTCTCGTGTCTAGTATGACTAGGACTTTTTATAGCTGTTATCCTGTCATTTTGCAAATGGGGATAGATTAATCTTTGGGGGACTAGCAGGGTATTGCCTCTTTCCCCCCTCCTATAAGGAGGAGAATACTTTTTCCTTAGCTATTTATTATTTTGACTTCCGTTGAATACACTCTATCTCAAGCCTTCATAATTGCTTACAGAATTACTCTGGTTCGCCTCTGCAGGTACCTAACACTGGATGAGGCAGACAGGCTTGTGGATTTGGGATTTGAAGATGACATAAGGGAAGTATTTGACCACTTCAAAGCACAAAGGCAGACCCTTCTATTCTCCGCCACCATGCCCACCAAAATTCAAAACTTTGCTAGGAGTGCGTTAGTGAAGCCTGTAACAGTCAATGTGGGGAGAGCTGGTGCAGCAAATCTTGACGTGATTCAGGAGGTTGAGTATGTGAAACAGGAAGCCAAAATTGTGTACCTTCTCGAGTGCCTGCAGAAGACTCCGCCACCTGTCTTGATATTCTGTGAGAACAAAGCTGATGTGGATGACATCCATGAATACCTTCTCCTGAAAGGAGTCGAGGCTGTAGCTGTTCATGGAGGCAAACACCAGGAGGATAGAGAGAGTGCCATTTCATCCTTCAAAGCCGGCAAGAAAGACGTCTTGGTTGCTACCGATGTTGCCTCTAAAGGTTTGGATTTTCCCGACATTCAGCATGTGGTCAACTATGACATGCCGGCAGAAATAGAGAACTATGTTCATAGGATTGGACGAACTGGAAGATGTGGGAAGACTGGGATTGCTACAACTTTTATCAACAAGAACCAGAGCGAGACGACGCTCCTCGATCTGAAGCACCTGTTGCAAGAAGCAAAACAGAGGATTCCACCTGTTCTTGCGGAGTTGGATGACCCTATGGAGTTTGGGGATACCATTACTGATGCCAGCGGAGTTAAGGGCTGTGCTTATTGTGGCGGTCTTGGCCATAGGATCCGTGACTGCCCCAAGCTGGAGCAGCAAAGAAGCCAGCAACTGGCCAACACGAGAAGGGATTACTTTGGCTCTGGAGGATATAGGGGAGAGATGTGATATGTTTGTGAACCATATTGTTTTTTTCTTCCTGGGTAGAATATGTTTGTGCACGACTAATGCCCCTCTTTTAGTGACCTCTGTATTCTGAAGTAATGATACACATGTCCTGTCCAACAGGTAGAACGCAGTTGTAGGGCGAGGAACCATTTTAGCAAAAGCACAAGAAGCGGGAGACTATATATTTTGTTCTCTGTATTGTATTAAAATTATATGTATGCTATGTTTTTTTTTTTTAACTGACGGAGCGTTTAAAGGGCGCCTCAACATTTATCCATTAACAAATATGGGAGTTTGAATTCCCAAAGTATCAAATAACAGCTAGTGCGCAAGTCTACTAGATGGCGTCTCAAACACATGGACTTCAACGCCCAAAGAATGGCCTAGAGACGCTAGGTAGTCGGCAAGAAAATTAGCTTCACGATAAACATGAGCTATCTTAACTTGCCATGGCCTTGAGAGCCACTGCCTAATCTCAAAGACATGCCTAAAGTGTGGATTTAGGTGTGTGGCGGACTTTATGAGCGAAACTGCTACAGTGGAGTCTGTTTGGAGAAGAACTTTCTAAGCGTCGAGTTCCTAGGTGAGCCGCAACCCTTGCACAATCCCAACCAACTCTGCACTCGTGATGGAACCCCCGCCAAGGTTCACTAAAAAGGATCTGATGTGGCAACCATCGTCTCCCCTCACAACGCAGCCAACTGCCGTGCTAGAAAGAGTGGATGACCGAACCGTCAGTGTTCAGGCAGACCCAGCCCGCTTCAGGAGGCTGCCAGTAGGGATGACAATGGGTCGGGTTGGGGCGGGTTTTGCCAAACCCGAACTCAAACCCATGGGTTTGTCCGTCAAAAAAACCCGGGGTAAAACCCGTTGGGTTTGAAAAACTCAAACCCAACCCAACCCGCTGGGTATCCGTGGGTTGATGGGTACCCGTGGGTTTTTTTGGTAAAATATTTATAAAATAATAATTAACAAGAAACTATCAATACATAAAATATCGTTCTAGAAAATTCAAACAAATCACACACTATCCATACAAATTGTTCAACTCCAATCTAGAAAATTCAAAGTCACAAATTATCCATACACAACATGATTAATTAAAGTTTCCTCCTCCTTGAGAACTTGAACATTGTCATCTTAGCTTCACTCTCAGCTCCATAACATCGACTTCATTCTACAGAATTAGGTAGACCAAAATTAGAAATGTCTCCACAAACATAAGAAAGATGGATTTTTTAAAGAAGATAGTTATAATATTAAATATACCGGTAACACATGAAGCACAATCTGGATCTAGGTCATCATTAACAGTGGCATAAGTCATGAGCTTATCAATTGTTTCCAAGCCATTTGCAAATAGGATAGCAAGTTAGCAAATAATGGTAACCAACAATATCATAACTCAAAACATTAATTAAAGGTTATCAAGCTACCTGGAATGGTTGAATTGAGCAACCAGTTTTGAGCACACATTAGAACCTCAACAGTTTCTGGGAGAAGTCTACTGCGACTAGGGCTAACTAGTCTTCCACCGGCACTAAAAGCAGACTCAGAAGCCACAGTAGTCACTGGAATTGCAAGTATGTCTCTAGCAATCAATGCTAAAGTCGGATACTTTGACTCATTTGCCTTCCACCACAATAAAATGTCAAATCCAGCTGTCTTGGGCAAGAATTTCTCCTTGAGGTAGCCATCCAACTCAGTTTCAACATCTACACCGCTTGTAGTCAACGATGCTACATACCTATCATATGCTGTCATTCTTCCTCCACCTTGACTAATCGAACTCCCATCATGAGACGAATTTCCTTCTTGACTCACCTCCACATTTAACTTCTTATGATCCTTCTCCAATTCAACCAACAATTGTCGAACACTCTCAATACATGCCCTTGATTCAACGCCATAGATATCTGGAATATAGCACTCCAACAAGGTAAACTTATACCTTGGATCAAATACAACAGCAATAGTAAAACATCATGAATAGTACTCCAATACTTCTCAAATTTTTTCATCATGCTTTTGGCCATATCTCTAATGAAAGCATGATCATCCAACATCTAATTAGAGATGCCCACCTTTATGTCGCACACCTTTTCAAAGAACAAATTGGAAGTTGGGTATTTAGCCCCTGAAAACAGCTCAGTCACATCATAAAACAACTCCAACTTGTCACAAACCTTCCTTGCAAACTCCCAATCAGACTCACTAGGTAAAGTCTTGTAATCCTTATCCATTTGCTTCAGACGAGGAAATACAATCTTATACTTCAAAGCAGGATGAAGCATAAAAAAGATGGAGTTCCACCTAGTTGGGCAATCCAAGGACAAACTTTTCCCATAAGAAATTTTCAATTGTTTTGCAACTATTTCAAACTTCTCTTTCCTTTTAGGAGTTGCTGTCCAGAATTGCACACTATCACGGATGCGCTCTACACTTCGCTTTATCACATCCAATCCATCCTTGACAATGAAGTTAAGAATATGAGCACAGCAACGCATGTGAATTTTAGCCCCAGCCCACATCAAACGCTCAGGATTCAACTTATACTTGACCAAGTCAATCAATGCATCATTCATACTACAGTTATCTAGAGTAATTGCAGACAACTTCGTATCAACATTCCACTCAAACAAAGTTTCGATAAGAACCTGAGCAAGTGCTTCACTAGTATGCGGGCAAGGTACATATATGAACCTACAATCAAAATATAACAACAAACTAAAGGTTAGATGCTGCAAGAACAAAAAAACAAGCATGAAAAGGCCAAAAACAGGTGCTGCCAGCACACTAAAATCACATAAAATAGTCCAAAAAATCACAGAAAACAATCCAAAAATCACAAATCAGCAAACAAAACAATATATGTTGCAAGCACAAAAAAACAAGCATGAAAAGAGCATAAATAGGTGCTGCCAGCACACCAAAATCCTATAAAATAGTCCAAAAATCACACAAAACAGCCCAAAAATCACAAATTAATAAGCAATGATTAAATAGGATTAAATACCTAAGAATGTAGCTCTGTATTGTCCAAGAAGTATCAATGAAATGGGCAGTCACCACCATAAATCCCTTCTTTTGATTAGTAGCAGTCCACATATCGCTAGTAATCGCTATCCTACTCGAATTCTCCTCTATCATACTTATAAGCATCTTCTTCTCAACCTCAAAGATCTTGAAAATGTCACTCTTCAATGTATTTCGACAAGGGCACTTGAATAAAGGTTGAATGATGAAGAGAAATCTTCTAAAACCAATATGCTCAACAATAGAGAGAGGGGTACTCATGTAATAAAATCATGGAAGCTAAAGCACGCCTCCCTTCTTCCTCATCAATTCTGTTGCCACTTGCTTTGCTAACATCTCCTTTCAAATTCTTTGTCAAAAGCATTTGTTTAAGATCTTTGCATTTTTTCCTCGAACATGTATGTAGAATATGCTGGCGCAAATGACTGGTCCCGTTATTAGTAGAAGCAGATAAGATCTTCTTACACCGTATGCATTCGGCTCTAAGAACCCCATCCTTCAAAATTCTGTTGAAATGCGGCCAAACATCACTTTTAAGCCCACTTGTATCAAGAACATTAACCTCATCAGATCTTGTTGGTTGTCCACTATCCATTACACCAGTAGGTGCTGCAGCTGCAGCAGCACCATTACCACTATCACTAGTGGGATTAGGAAGTTGGGACTGAGATCCCGCAGTAGGTGTAGAAGTAGTACCAATAGTCTCATCACCTCCACTAACAATTGGAGTTCCGGCTTCAGAGGCATTTGAAGCCATATCAAGCACCTACACAAAGCAAAATCATAGTGAATTGAGTGACAGTTTCAACTTCCCAACATCATAGAAAAAAATATGCAACACATCCAAAATACTAAATCTCTTACCTAATAGCTCTCTAACAATAAATCTATCTCTCATCCACTTAACATCTACCAAAGTGATGCAACGAATCATGCGGATCACAAATATAATCACTATATTCAATCCAAATTAATTGACAGCAACTACTTAGGGTTTACTTCAATCCAGATTAATTAACATACACAACAACTACTTAGGGTTTACTTCACAGATTAATTAATTAACATACACACTTGCACAACAACTACTTAGGGTTTACTTCACAGATTAATTAATTAACATACACACTTGCACAACAACTACTTAGGGTGTACTTGAATCCAGATTAATTAATTAACATACACACTTGCACAACAACTACTTAGGGTGTACTTGAGTTTTTGGATTGGAGGAGAGCTTTCCCAAGACAAGCAACGAGCGGCTGAGGCTGGAGAGAGTGGTCGGGACTCGGGAGGGTGATTTTGGACCTGGTGGCGTGTCCTGCGGCGGAGTCGACAGAGAGGTGGTCGCCTGGTCGGGGAGGTTGAGAAGGAGTGGGTTTTGTCCGGTTGGGTTCAGCGAGGAGGTGAGCGACGACGTGAAGGCGTTGCTGAGGAGCAGGGAGAGCTGGAGAGGGTGGCGGGGCAAAGGAGCAGGGATTCGGAGAGGGCGCGGCGCGGGCGGTAATGGAGTCGGAGAGGCGGATGCTCGGCAGGGGGTTTTGGTGCTGGCGGGATTCGAGAATGGAGGCGGAGATCGGTAGAGGGTTTTGGTGGTGGCGGGGCGGCCGTCGCCAGACAGATTGGGAGTCGGGACGGGAGGTGGAGAAGAGGAGTCGCGGAGAGGAAGATGGGTCGCGGAGAGGAAGATGAGTCGCGGACAGATTGGCGGCGATGGGAAGTGGGACTGGGAAGTGGGAAGTGGGAATTGTCTCTGGGACTGGGAATTGTCGACTGGGGTAATTTAGGGTAGGGAGTAGAGATGTATGTCCGGGTATCCACGGGTCGGGTTCCCACAAATCCGAACCCGCCCCAACACGCCCAACCAGCCACTGGGTTTAAACCCAAACCTGATCAACAAGGATTTTACCCGGTTTGACCGGGTTGGGTCGGGTCGGGTACCCGCGGGTCTGGGTTGAACTGACATCCCTAGCTGCCAGTTAATTAAATGTCTCTCTCGGGGTCCCCCTCCCCCAAGAGTTTTTCTCTCCTTCTCGAATGTTGCAGTAACCTGCTTCTTCAGCTGTTTTGATTGAAACTGGATTTGTGCAAAGGACTACAACTCATCTTGGAACATGTAGCTATTCCGGTTCTTCCACAGGAGGCAGCACGTACCTACAAAAAGAGTGGGATCCACGATATTACTTCGACCAGAAAGATAGTGTAACATCCAATGATGTGGGTCTTGGGCGAAGAAGCTCTCATCGGGTTCCGAGTCGAGAAGGTCCGCCCAGGTGACTCGAGCA